AGAAGAAATCCTCACAGATGCTAATTAAATAGTTTGGTTTTTGTTTATTTTAGAATGGAATCGTTCTAAGCACTTAAATTCCTCTTACATTCTTCCACATTTGAAAACACTTCATTAAATATCAAGAGTTTGCCTCCCTATTATTCTGTCTCTATTTTATCTCTATGAATAGTGATGCCAGTCTCTTTCATAGAAGCAATGTATGTTATGATTCTTCATCTTGTGCTGCTTGACCACCTTACAATCTAGCATCCTCTTTACCTTCTTTATTGCAGCTGCATATGGGGCTGAAGGCTTTAAGGATTTCCACACCATCATCCCCAAATCTTTTTCTAGTAAGTATTCTGTGGGTATGATGGCCCGATATTGCTTGTATTTTTCATCTGTACATGTAACTTCTGTAACTCATGTATTTCTCTATGTCTTTGTTTTTTTGTTCTTACCTTTGTCATTTAACTTTTACCTCCTTGTATTTTTTTCAAGCTTACAAATAATGTTAGTGTTACACATAGATCAGTTAGCTTAGAGAAAAGCCTAATTTATCTATATGATTGGCTAGAGAGGCATATGAAAAAAATATCACTTATATCAAGAGAGAATTAAATGCTTAGTAACATCTACACATAGGGCCCTGTAACCATGTAAATAAAAGAAGGACATTGAATAGTATATATTTACTTTTCTTCTTACAGAAGTGCATGGCTAATTGGTTAAGATTTTTTTGTTTCATTGATAAAATAATTCTTATGCCTTGATTTCAGATTTCATAATGATGAGAACAAAAAATTGAAAAATAAGGCACTGGTTGGTTGACTAGGGCCCAGAAACTGCAAATCAGGTCAAATAATGGAGGACTAGGCACATGATACAGTTATTAAATCAAAACTAGCATTGACTAATAGGAGAAGTGGTTATAAGATCAGATCATTCTGCTCGACACTGAAGTATTACAGGCCTGGACACAGTTTCAATGGTGCTGCTTATGTCTTACACATGTAGTACCCAGATTCAAGTGCTAGCTAAACTTTGTATTGTTAAAGCATTATGTACCAAGATTGGGGGGAAATCTCAGTCTAACATCATTGCCAGTTAATCAGAAGTGCTATACAAGTGGTCTTATTTGGCAGAAGGTTAACGAAAGTTAAAATGTTCCTCACATCCCTTCTGTTTGATCTGACTCATAGAAAATAATTTAGCCATTGTCAGTTATCTGTAATAACAATTGATATAACTTTGACAGTATGTGGGATAGTAGCTGGGATATTGTGTGTCTGCATTTTTGAAATGCATATGATTAAGAATTAATACTTAGTCCCAGTTAACCAGGCTTTTGTAGCTCATAGCAATTGATCATTAAAAACACTTTTCTACAGTTAACTTCAAAGGAGCCTATATTATTTTAGGACCATTGCAGAGCATGTCTACATACAAAGAGGTTTCACTGTGCTCAGGGAGATTTACCCCCAGAGAGAATGAAGATATGTTTTGTTTTTAAAACTAGAAGAAGATAAAAGCAGAGTTTGATCCATACTTAGTCACACTTTGAGTAGTCACACTAAATTAATAGGGTAATCCAGGGCTTTTTTTGTCATAGAACGCCCAGAACGGAGTTCCAGCACCTTTTTTGGATGGAACCTTGTAGGGTAGGCAAGGCAGGTTGTATGACGTGTGTGAGTTCGGCACCTTTTTTTTTTTTTTTTTACAAAAAAGCACTGGGGTAATCAATTAATCATGATTTATTAATCCCATTGATTCAATGGATTAATTCTGGCTCCAACAGGATATATATTTTCAACTATCTAGTTTTGGTGTGATGAAAAAACAGAATGAGAAGATGGAGTATTTTACGGCAGAGGTCCCCAACCTTTTGGGCACCAGGTACCAGTTCCATGGAGAAAGGTTTTTTCATGGAGTGGAGAGTGTGTGCATTTGTGTGCTGCCTGCATGCCACAGATGGGGCTTTGCTTCTTTGTGTGGACCGATTGCTGGCATGCTGCGGCCTGGTACCAGTCCATGGACTGGGGGTTGGAGATCCCTGTTTTAGGGTCTACTAAACATGGAGAAGTTGACAAATCTACTTGTAGCAATGTCATAGTATGATCACAGGAAAATCATTTTTGCTTCCCAAATATTATCCATGACTATACCCTATATAATTTTATGGTAGAAAATTTACTTGTAATACAGCCAAAACAATGAAGATGTATTATCCCATTTTTTTTACTATCCATTTATAATCCATTTACCTCCCATTTGTCTATATAATCTGAAGAGCTGAAAACAAACTCTAATTAACATTTTTTATAGATCATGCATCTAAAAAGAAATTGTTGTTTCTTGGTCAGTCACCTAGAATATAGGGGGTCCTCAATTACAGATTGTCTTATTCAGTGGTTGTTCTAAGTTACAAAAGCACTGAAATAGTAGGTTTCCAACTGGTTCTTAAACTTGCGACTATTGCTGTGTCCCTGTAATCATGTGACCATAATTTAGGTGCTTTGTAATTGGTGCACATTTACAATGGTTGCAGGGTCTCACAATCCTATAATCCCCATTTGTGACCTTCACATCTAGCTTCTAAAAAGCAAAATCAGCAGAAAAGCTGGTAGGTTGCTGCAAGTTGCAATTCTGGGATTCATGTTTAATAACTATAGTCTTTGGTTTTGTTGCTTAACAACAGTGAAACTGATGTTGTAAATCTGTCGTGATCATGTAATATTTCACTTAATGATTGTGTCATTTAACAATGAAATTTCTGGACGCAGTTGCAGTTGGTGGGTGAGGATTACCTGTATTATTAAAGGAATAAAATCCTAGCTTCATGAATAACATACTTAGATATTGGTGGGAATGACATGTTTGTATTCTCTCCAATATAAAAGATTTATAAAATCTTTGGAATGGGTGATACCTTTGTACATAAATAAATGAAAAGAAGTCTCTTTATATACAAAAAGATGGCATGTCAGAAATACAATTTTTAACTTTATTTCTTCTTGGTGTATACTTTGCTTTCTTCAGAATTATTCTGTTTTTCAAATAGGAAAGTATTTCCATTTATATTTCTACTTAATTTTCTTACAATTAAGAGGATAGAATTGGAATAAGCAATCTGCAGTGTAGATTACATGTGCCAGCTTTCTGGCCCCAGACTACCTCCATATCACACTGTCATAATTCATTTTTAGTGACACAATTTTAGCAAACTAATAAACATTTTAAGGGAGTTGGGCAGTTAAGAAGTATGAAATGTAAATAATTATAAAATAATAAATAGAGTCATTGTAAGGCAAAATGTTCAAAGTAAAAGAAGAAAAAAAACGAGCTCTATTTTCTGATGATCTCACATTCCCCCCTGTAGCCTTAATAGCCCAAACATTTTAATTTTTTTTAAACTGCACCACCCAAGCCCAACATCAATTTCCATCTGCTAGGTCAAATATAGAAAAATAGTCTTTTTCTTTCTGCTTTCATTCCCTAGATCCCTGACTTCTAAATTTTCCTTTATTTGGAGTTCCACATAAGTCAGGGCACCACTGTAGTATGTGCCAATGCTACAGTGAACAGAGAGTTTATGGAACTGAAAATGGCAGAATCTCACAAGATTTCATGGGTCTGACCTGAATTCTTGTCAGATTTTGAGCAAGAATAGCTATATCATTTTAGAGTTGGCAATCTCTGAAAATGATGACCATTATTAAAAATAGTTTTGGCACCTGCTCTAGTGACTGCTTAGGGCACCTAGGATACAGGTGAAACCATGACTCTGTGCAAGTCATACCTTTCTGTCAGATATGTGCAGTGGTGGGATTCAGCCAGTCTGCACCACTTTGGCAGAACCGGTAGCTAATTTTTTGTTGTCCAGGCGTGGATGCCGGATGCGGCATCTACACAGAGAACCAGTTGTTCACATATTTGAATCTCACCACTGGATATGTGCATTTCAGCCCACCCCACTAAGCATATTCCATTGCCTCCTTAGTTATACATGGAGTCTCTGCTTGGTTGCTTTAAGGCAGTGGTGGCGAACCTATGGCACGGGTGCCAGAGGCGGCACTCAGAGCCCTCTCTGTGGGCACGCGCGTCGTCACCCCAGTGCTAGGCCTTCAGCTGGGTTTTATAAAACCTTTTTGCTTTAGGCCTCCGCCGCCATGTGCAAAACAAAAAAAGGTTCAATCAGTCAATTTCAACTTCTCGCGGGAAAAAAAGAGATCTTGCAAAGTTGGAATTGATTGATTGAACTTTTTAGTCCCATCTAGTCTGCCGTTACCACCGCGGCCACGCCCACCCAATGGGCCACATCCACCTGGCACTCGACGATGCATAAGTGGGTTTTGGGTTGCAATTTGGGCACTCGGTCTCTAAAAGGTTCGCCATCACTGCTTTAAGGTTTAAAGGAGTTTGGCAGTCCAAATCTATGGCAAATGAGCTAGGAAAGGGCTTGATAGGTTGGTCTTGTTTATCCAGTCACAAATCAGTCAGTCTTTTATTATAATAAATGAGCAGAAAGCAATACAGAAAAACATAAAGATGAAAACTTACCAGGTGAAAAAAAACAAATATTATCAAATAAAATTTGGTACGAAACAAAATAATAATGCAATAAATAACTATGTATAAATAATAAATGTAATTGATGGCAACAAATGTTACATCAATAAATCAAAATTTGGCCACATTCTCTTGTCAAATGTGCCAACATATTAAAGAGCTATTGTGGCTGCCAGAAACATTGATAATTTCACTAGTTTGCACATTATATTGATATGACATATAGGCATGATGTGAAACTTAGAATTAAACATGTAAATATTTTAATATTGTATATGTATTTTAAATAAGTCCATTCCATTCCATCAGTAATTTGTCACTTAATTATATTGTTAAGTATATTATTGATAAATGCTTCCCTTTATGCTGTTTTTTCCCATAATGATTTTGATTGGTTTATTTTTTTTAAAAAAAAAACACTGAGTAGCATCCTCTATTATTTCTTTCAGCCAGTAATATTAAAATAGAGACACAGAGTGATGAAGAGAATGGGCATGCCTGTGAAATGAATGGGGAAGAATGTGCGGAGGATTTACGAATGCTTGATGCCTCTGGAGACAAAATGAATGGCTCACACAGTGGCAGCAAAGCCATGTCAGGAGTTGGAGGCATTCGACTCCCTAACGGAAAGCTAAAGTGTGATGTCTGTGGGATAATTTGCATCGGTCCCAATGTTCTTATGGTTCACAAGAGAAGCCACACTGGTAAGGTCTAGCAGAGTTTTTTTTTCTTTAGTTATTAGAGATTTGTATTCAAATTAATCCAGTACTGGGCTGCCCACTCCTATCCTGAAACTCTGAAAGTTACCAGACATTACTTAATGCACCCAGACCATACTATACTATTCCACACCAAGAATACCAATACCATACCATAGCTGATAGTGTCAAAAGCCATGAAGAGGCCAGGGAGAATTTTAGGTTAAATTTCTAATCCATTCCTTTTGTAAATCAAACAATATAATAATAAGGCTATGTCTTGTCTTCAAATCAGGCCAGATATTAGATCAAAATAATAGCAGTTACCAAATTGAGAAATTATCTTCTTTTCCATTCACTCAATAACCGTATTTTAGAAACAGAACAATAATTACCAGAATCAAATATCCAAATTGATTTTTAATGAAGTTTTAAATATAGTGGGAATAATGTCTTCTAAAGTTAACCACTCTGAGATTCAGGTAATAATTTTAATCTTTCAGATAGATTCTGCTTATCTGGAAAGAGATGGATCCAAGGAGTGAGTGGCAAATCTTAAACAGACAAATAGTTTCCCCATGGCATTTGCCTCAATGTATCATTGTCAGCAGGCAAATTATCCCCACATAATTCATATAGTGAATTGTAAGGATTATGTGAACCTCATTGTATTTTCTGTAGCAAAAAACCAATGATTAGAGTTGCTTCCAATGCCATAAATTACTGTTGTTTATACTAGTAGTATTTGGTTATGGACATATACAAACATGAATGTTGATAGAGACCTTGATGGAGCTGGGAATTTAAAAGGCAGAAACCAGGCAAATATCTTAAATGTAAGAATATATAGTATTCACTAGATTTCAACTAAACCAATCTTGTTTTTAAGCAAGGTTATTTCTCCTGAGTGATTTACAGCATCTTTAGAACACCACTAAGCTGTCACTGCAGTTGCAATAATAATGTGATCAACCATAATAATAATAAATTGGTTATTTGGGCACAACAATGGTACAACAATTCTAAAACATACTATCCTGTAAATTGCAAGTGGGGATATAATCTGAGATGGCAGTCTTATAGGATTTTTTAAATATACCAGTCAAATAGTTTTAACAATGGTACTTCATTCTTTCCTTCTACATATCTTTATCTAAAAAGGTACTTTTAGATAATTCCTTGCCCTCAAGGAATTGTGACACATCAGGTTTTTTATGAGGAAATATTGAACTTTGCCATGTGTGTTACAGAGAAATCTGGGAAAAATTCTAAAAGGAATTCTTTTATAGGATTGTTGTCCTGACTATTCCACCATAGGAATGCATAGAAAATTGTTCCTGTCCAGCTATTCTTGAATGCTAGATTCTCCATGTGTGCTTCATGTATTTAAGATGCAGCCTTGAAAACTGTTGCATCATTTGCAAGTTAGAGAGAAACGGTTAATTCTGATTTTTTTGTTATCTTTCCATCATTTCATCTTAACTCTACTTTGCTGGTGATCTGAATTTTTTTGATTTCACCAGCAATCCTCTGACTCATGTTTCATATTTCTATACAAAACTGTTTTATGATCCCCATATTAGATAAATATCATTCTTGTCTCCAGGTTTTAATTTTTGGCTCTAGGTTTTAGTCTATGAAATAATTACTTGTCTGCTTATTTTCTCCTTTGTGACCTAATTTGTATCAAGAGGGAATGCAAAAACAAGTGGGAACTGCTATTTTGTCTTCATTCAGGTCATGGTTATGTGTTTGAAAAGGCCACTGAATTAGAGGAGAAATTTTAAACTTGTTGGCAGAGGATCGTGGCAAAGAGGTTTGATGTTGTTGATTCCTGTTACCATGCTTCAATATGCTGGTGAAGCTAAGTAGTGGTGCATGCTCAGGCATGGGGAGATATCTGGGGTAGCCACAATGTAGTAGATAACCATTCCCTCATATCAAGCATCTCTTTTGAAGGTTTTGTACAGATCTAGTCCTAAGAAAGCAAAAATAATTTTCTCCAATCTTACTTTTTCAGTAACATGTGAAAATTAGATGTGACAATGTCATGGTGACATTTCAGCATGCATCAGATAACAGTATGAGGTTTTTGAAACCATAATTCATACTTACTGTAACTCCTGAATATTCCATAAGCAGTATGGGAGCATAAACATAATAAAAAAGTTGCAATTTTCATGGTCCCACTTGTTCTGAAACAACTTTAAAGATCAAATCCACAGCACTGCGTAACCTAGAGTTTTTTTTGTGCCTTTGAGTCAGTATTGACTCCTGACAATTATCTAGACTAATCCCTTCAATTTTCTTAGGAAGGTTTTTCAGAAGAGATTTACCTTTTCCTTCTTCCCAAGGCTAAGAGAGTGACCTGCCCAAGGTCCTACAGTTGGCTTTGTGTCCAGGGTGACACTGAAACTCAGAGCCTCCCTGTTTCTAGCCTTGTGGCATAACCACTAAACTTAACTGGCATAAGCATAGTAATAAGTAACAAATAATGAATAGTTTTATGAGTTAAATATGATATGAGTTAAAAGGTATAATTCCAATCCCCAAATATATCTGCCAGATGTGGTTATTCAAAACAATACTTAATATCTTCTATTTTTAAAAAATCCTAAATATAACTGAGATTATCTGAATTTTCTTCTCTTTTCAGAATAAAACTCTCTCCATAAGTGTCTGACAGATTAGAATACTGACACTTTCTGCAGTTGATTAAAATCATAGCACATAAACCTTTTTCTAGACTGTAAATGGCAATTAGCTTGCTTTTAATTAAAATGCTTCACAGAAGCTTGTTTAGGCCTAATTGTTGCATACATTTGGAAAGATTAAAACAGATACAGTTGGAGGGGATTATATTATTTGTATCTTTCTTTATTATAACAGTCCTATGGAGTATCATAACAGTAACATGACTACTACCATATTTGATTTAATACTCTGGCTCTGTCAAGGTCATCATAATAGTATCTATAAATACATTGATTTTAAATTCCACATTTTTCATCATTGTTCCCTTGATTTCACTGTTATTTTTGACTTTAGTAGCAAATTATCAGTAGATGACATCTAAGTTGAAAAATATTTCAGAAAAGGCAGTGGCAAGATATTTCCATACTATTCCAAGAAAGTGTTGTTAATTTCCCCACAAAAGTCATCAAAAGGTGAGTTAACCTGGAAGGTGACTTCCTTTTAAATAAATAAATAAGAAATTAAATAATTAAATCTACAATATAGTATTTAAACAGAAGACAAAAGTTTTCTCCACATCAGGAAACAATCTTTGTAATTAAATTCCTCATTTTTTTTGCAAATTTTTTAATTCATTAACTTATAAAATAAGAACATACAAAAGCAAATAAAAAGGAACAGAGGTAAGGGAAAGGAAAAAAGAGAAGTGTGGAAAAGGGGGGGAGATAAAAAAAAGGCATTAACTTCTGACTCCCTCTGTTGCAGTAAAATAAGGCATTAATATCAAACCTCAACTTTTTACATTTCTATAGTAGTATGAACTATCCATTTCTATATCAATAAATCAATCTAATCAGTAAAACCCAAAATCAAAGTATCATTTTTTTCCACCTCAAGCACAAAGTGCAGAAGCGGTCTCCATGAAAAAACAAAAGTACTTATATTCTTTTCTTTAATCAAAATGATCAATTTAGCCATCTCTGCCAACTCCATCAGTTTCTATAGCCATTCATCCATAGTGGGAATCGAATGTCCTTCTATTTTTGTGCATACAATAGTCTTGCTGCCGTCAACATATATAAGATCAAAGTTCTAATTTTTTCCCCAAGTCTTTTTCCATTAGACCCAGAAGAAAAGTTTCTAGTTTAATCTTCATATTCACTTTAAGAATTTTCTGCACTAAAATATGAATCCTACTCCAATATTTCTTTGCTTTATCAAATGATAAATGATAAAAAGTCCCCTCTTTACATTTACATTTCCAATATTCATTTCAGATACCTTTATACATTTGGGGTCGATCGACCATTTCATGGAGGTCGCCAAGCAAGGCTGTCCACCATTTTTTTTGTCTGCCATTTTTTTTGACCGCCATTTTCCCCCCTTTTCCGGCGGGTGCCTTACTTCCCTTGGGCTGGGCCAGCTGGTGGTCGGCCTGCTCCGTCTCTGCCGCTTGCCAGCTACGCCTCGGCCGGTGCAGGGGGTGGAACCACGCATGCGTGGCGCTCCCGGGCAGGGAAAGTCCTCGACTTACGACTGGTTGAGTAGTCCTCGACTCACGACCGGTTTAGTCCTCGACTTACGACCAGTTTAGTCCTCGACTTATGACCGGTTTAGTCCTCGACTTACGACCGGTTGGGGTCGCGGCATTAAAAAGGTTGAGAACCACTGTTCTAGATAATGTATCTGGTGTTAAATAGCAGCAATACATCATATTATCAAAGTTTTCTTTTAAGTTATAGTTTAGTGTGAATTTTTAGCCTTTTGTCCACATATTCTCCCATTGTTCAAGCATCACATAATACCCAAAGTTCCTGTCCACTGAATCATACAGTGTTTTACATGTTCACTTTCCAAATTCAATTTCAATAACATTTTGTAAACCTTAGCAACAAATGGTCATGACTACCATATAGTAAAATTTCCAATTCATTTTTAACAAAGTCAAAACCCATAACTAGTTAAATCTCTCTTTCATTTGTAAGTATGTAAACTAATGGCAGACCTGACTTCTGATTCTAGCTCTTCCTTAGAATTGAGAGTAGGCTCACCATAATTAAAAAGCTTATTTTACCATATGACCACCAGTCCGGCTTCATTGCCATTTCATTTTTTAAAAAAGCTTCTTGGAGAGGGGACACCCAAAGAGGCAACTTCATAAAACTCTTGTTTTATATTTATTCCAAACTCTTAATATGGCACGTCTAATAAAATGATTGTTAAAATCAACATTTACTTTAACTTCATCATATCATAAATAACCGTGCCACCCAAACCTTAGCCTCTTGTTCTGAGGTTCACCCACTCTTATA